AAAGGCTCACGGGTAGATGCTTGTTTGTAAACAACAACATTCCCGTCTGTCATATGCACAGGTGACGATTTTAAACCAGCACAAAGCTGTGATGTATATAATTTCCTCTATGCAAGGGTGATTCAGCAAAAATACAATCCAGAAAAAAAAAGCAATTTTTCCTTGTATGGGTTATATGTTTGTAATTTATAAATAAATTCCAGGAGAAACAAGTCATTGTCAATGACACGTCCCCATTCCGTTCATATTTGAGTGACACATACATTCAAAGCAAATCATGACCGAAATGCACCTGCATATGTACAACACATTGTACTAAATCTGAACAAAATCCATCCATGCATGACTGAGATCCGGTTCCGGAATTGTGAAAATACGTGATTTTGATGCATTTTCGGCCTTAAAATGGCCATCATTCAGCTATTGTTAAGCAGATCATGAAACAAATGCACATATCTATTTGTGACATGATGTACCATGTGTGTGTGAAGTTTGAACTTGATCAATCCAGACATGTCTTGGATATGGATCCAGAACTGAATTCTTTAAAACAAAATGGCCGCCAGTCCGCCATTTCGAAATAGATCCGGAAAAAAAATAACGTGCATCAAGGTCCTATTATGTTTAATGTATGTACCAAATTTGAACAAAATCCGTCCATGCATAACTGAGATCCGGGTCAGGAAAGGTGAAAATGTGCGATTTCAATGCATTTTCGGCCTTAAAGCGGCCGCTATTTGGCTATCGTTAATGAAATCATGAAACAAATGCACATACATATTTGTGACATGATGTACACAGGGCAAACCATAAGTCCCCGTTTTCTGACTATGTCCGAACGGGGACTAAAAAAGTAATTGACAGTACATGACAAAATCGTTATTCATTTTGATAATAGGTTCTATCAGAGGTACATTACTTGGGGTTTGCAACTACGGTGACATGATACCAAGATCCCGTTTCAATATCGCTCTCGCATAAGCGTTCCAACTAAGAATAATGCGAATGCACATGCCTGAGGTAACTAGGATACTGGGATGTCCAGGTGGATCAAAATAGCTGCTCACGACATGACGGATTACGATAACTATATTTTCTGTACATTTTCGATGTATTACATTTTTTCACTATGAATGTGGTAATACATATTTTACTACAAACCGCCTATGTCATGTCAGAAGGTCATAGCATCAGTCTCGCTATCTACGAGATGAGACTTGAATGGGATCTTGACATGATGTCACCATACAGTACTATGCGCATTGCAAACTTCAAGTAATGTACCTCAGGTCCTATATATTGTGCATGATATATGCAGATGGCCCGGCATTTTACATATTTGGTATGTAGATTTTATTAAATGATTTCTAGATTTACACATACATGCAACTTGATGTAAAAATTATTCATTGTGCTGTACTGATCTGCTGCTTACAACCAAAGACATTGCTTACATCAATACTGCTATGAGACCAAGTATTTCAGAAGACCTCACATCAGCATGCACATCAAACACAACTGAACTTCATTGAAATAGAATGCAACTCACTTTGGTAAGAAGGTACATACACTTGAAAGCAAGGTGCGATAGAGCTGGGGGCGTGTCTGAATCTCGAGCTAAAGCTAGAAGCTCGTCAAGGAAGCACTGGAGGTGGGGATCCAATAAATGAGGCTGTTCCTGATAGTTATCAACAATCACTGAAACAAGAAACAAATAGTGTTAATGTATTGCTACCAATTGAACCAAGTAACATTTAATGCTGTGATCTACTACCGAAGCATACTGGCACCAGAAATAAAAGTATGAAAGTTATTAAATGCAAACACATAAAACTAAAAATAACTCCAAAATCTTCCTTTTATTTGCAATGCATTGAAAGCAGTTAACATGACCGCAAAGCTGGTCTGCGAATGATGATTATGCCCATGGTAGTTCATAGAAATTTTCAGCAGATACATGTACTACTGGTAATGATGTCAGCTTCATTCTATGAAATGCAAAGATTGTTGAAGGGATGAATTTGCAAAATGTGTTATCAAAATACTACTACTGCTCTTCATCCCTTGTGGGACATAAGACCGTCTTGATACACTTCCACCTTAACCTGTATGGTGCACCGAGCCTCTCCCAATGTCAGTCATCAAGCTCAGTTGTAACAGTTTGAGTCCAGGCTTCCAAAACAACGCACAACATGAACGTTTGTTTTGGGGCCATTTTGATGGCAAGCGTGTGAAGTGCATCTTGAATTCTCAACTAATGGACGATCTAATAACTTTTGATGTCCATGCTTTTTTATTAAATGAATAAACTGCTTAGCTGAGCGCGCCTGCTACATATTGAAAAATTATATATATTTCATCCACGCTTTAGTGTAATGTAATGATGCCTATATGTTGCTTCTTCACTCAAGAAAGAAATACCCTCTAAATAAAAAATGTGTAGTACAGCTAACTGAAATTTAATATTCACTGGCATTATAAATAGTAGTACTGCACTGGCAAAATACTTGAAAAACACAATTTATAAAACCTAATTGTAATACGTATATTATATATACCCGATGGTGCAGTTGGGTAATAAAGTTATTATTATTATTATAAAACATTTCACTATTTTCAGCCAGTCGATCACATCAGTTATGCACAATAACAACATCCCATATCTTTTAAATTATAATCAGATTGCTAATTTAAAATATTTTATAACATTTTTCCTATACAGTAATAAATTGCAACTATTGAAAAAAAAGAGTTTTGTCACTCTAAATCATGAGTCATCTCTAAACAAATCAAAATATCGGTATGGTCGCAGGTGAAACACTACACGTACCTGTGAATCGTTCAACCGCAATCTCAACTGAAATCTGGTCAGTGTATATGTTCTTCAGGCTCTTGATCAACTCTTTCACTTCGTCCGCCTCTTCAAAAGCGTCAAGGATTGACCCTTTCCCGACGATGTCGTGTCCATCAGAACCAATGTCCTGCAAATCACTCGCATCGACCGCCATCTTGCGTCAAGTACCGTAATAGTATGTCAAATTCAAGCTCCCTAACTTTGATAAGATGTAACAGTCAAAGTAAAAATACTTTGCATGTTTGCATTTATATGGAGTCTTGTATGGGAAGTAAACTGCACAGTGTTACTATTACTACAAAATAAACTAAATCAACTAATTTATACGTGTGCAATAGTTAATAATATTTGTAGATTTAGTTTATTTAAAGTTGATAAAGCTAGGTGGTTCATCAACATGGCGACTCCCATGAAACGGGAGTTTGTTTATTTCTCTCACGTGTTTGCGGCAGTTGTGTGAAACTGGCAGAAAGTGTCAGACATGGAGGTGTCAAATGTTATACGGGTATTGTTCCCATTTAGCTGTGTGATTTCCGAAGACGGGATTCTCATTGGATGTCAAGATTCACGCAGGAGACTTGTTTGCGTTGTGGGTGTAGTCAATCAGCCATGCAGCAATGAAACGGTCCGTACATATTTACGGAAGGTATCCCTCGGTCAGAAAACTACATATCCCGTAACTGTTCTCGGAACTTGGCGGAGGGGACAACATCACGATGACACTGCTTATAGAGCAAACTCTTTCCCCGCGCACGGGCAAGACAACTGGATTGAAATGTACACTTATGTCAACAACCCGGATCCTCCAAACTGTATTGCGTATGGGACTTGGGAAAACAACGCCCTCATGATGATCTTGTACGATCAGACGAAGTTCTTGAAGGCAAAACTTCAGAACCAGGAAGGTAACAGCGGAATAGCAAATGGGAAGACTAAAAAGAACGAATACATGACCGATATTGACTGCATTTTTGATATGGTGAATTCATGTAAGAACACAGTACTTTGCAGTGGACATAATGCCATTGAATATGACCTAAATATTATACATAGCCAATCAGAACGCAACAAAAGCTGCAAGATTTGGACACTATCACTAAGTCTATTGAATTGGTGGATGATGTTAATATTCAGCGTTATAGTAAAAATGACAGGCATTATTACCATGTGCAGGTAATGTTTGGGGAGGGGTGTTGAAAATTTACTTTCAGTCCACTCAAATATCAAATAATTACATTGGTTAGGTTGAAACATTGTAGCCCAAGTTGTCATAATAGACATCACATAAAACACATATATTACCAGGTATTTAGTTTGCCTACCATTGACATGTCACACGGTTGATTGTGGGTGACAACTCGATCCATGCAATGCTCACCTGAAAATTGGGGGGATGTTTTTAAACAGAGAATCATTCACTGAGATTTCAAATGCAGTTGATGTTTCAAAATCTACAGAATACACAATTTATGAAAAGCCAATGTCAACTTGGTAGTTTTAACCATAGACCTTAGAAAACTAAAAATTGCAAAGTTAACAGTTTTCATTCCACTATGAAAACAGAAAAGGGAAATAAAAATGATCAGTTTTCTCTACAAGAAAAAAAAACTGCCTAAACGTAAACAATGACCTGTCAAAATTTGTATCATTATAACAAGTGCATTTTTCATCATATTTAGAGCAGATATAGCATAGTGCACTCGTTATACACTGACAAATGGTGAATATTGGCACAGCATAACTTATCAAACATATAAAAAAGTGTAGAAAGGTAACAACTAAAACTGTTTCAGATGTATAGGTATATGTATTAATGGGATTATCTATACAGGGGATTATAACCCATGTTGCACACAGGAAACTGGATTTTCTTTTGCTTAGACAGAAGTTGCATGTCCCTGTTTTCTAAGGTCTATGTTTTAACAGTGTTCAAAGTTGAGTCATCATGTTCTACAGTACATTGAATTTGGCAAGAAAACTAAAACCGAACATATATTTAAAACTAAGTTTATGAATGGAAATGTCATTATACCGATACTATCAGGCTATCACACATACAATCTTGGGTTTTTTACTAGAAAGAAAATCACAATCGTCGCCAAAACAGAGAATGGACACTATATTTCATGAAAACTATCAAATTAGACAGTGGCTTGAGTCATTGGTAATCAAAACATCAGGGAATTGTCTATGCATGGTCTTGCCGAGAAAGGACAAGATTCTGTCAAAATTCAAAGACATGCAATTAATGCAAATTATGTAGTCAGTCCATTCTCCAGTGTTTCTGGGATTGAAACTAAATTGTCGCTGTCCATCATCATTTAAGATCTGAATACATACTTTGTTCATTCAGCATAAATAAAAATTAGCCTCTTCATGAATTTGTTATAGATCTGTAAATCATTTTGGGATATGAACACAGGGACTATTCTTCTTCTGAAAAGTACAAAAAGTATGTGAATTCAACTTGTATAAAAATCCTGCCATGTTTCCAGGCGATTGAAGTATGATACCGTTAGTGTACATTTCAATAGACGACTAAAATTTTGGTCACCTAAGCATTGCTGGTATGTGATGTCTATTTTGGTAACACAAAGTTTACAGATCTGGCTACAATGTTTCTTTCTAATCTAATCACTCGCTAGTAACTTCAAATGTTCATAGTTTGAAACTTGACATGTTGATACAAAACTCAAAATACCGGTATGCTGATGTAAAAAAATTTTATGACATCATATTATTAATAATACCCTCATTAAATTTCAATAATGTAGATTCATTTGTTCTGTCAAGAACACATAAGGTTAACTTTTTTAGCTCCGCTGTCGACTTTGTCGAGCGAAGCTTATCATACGAGTGATTGTCCGTCGTCGTCCATGTCAATGTTTTACTTTTTCGACTTCTTCTTGAAAACTACAAGCCTGAATGCGTTGATACTTGGTGAATATGTACCTTGGGTAGACCTCTCTCAGATTTGTTCATTTCATGATCATATCTTCAATTCTCTAATTTTGGTGAATATTTTTGTCATTTTTGGTAAAAAGTGATATTTTCAACTTCTTGTTAAAAACCGCAAGTCCAATTGCTTTGATATTACATATATAGATGCTACATGTTGACCTTTCTGTGATTTGTTCATTTCGTGATGATATCTTCAATTCTCTAATTTTGGTGAATATTTTTGTCATTATTGGTAAAAAGTAATATTTTCAACTTCTTGTTAAAAACTGCAAGTCCAATTGCTTTGATACTACATATATAGGTACTACATGTTGACCTCTCTCAGATTTGTTCATTTCGTGATGATATCTTCAATTCTCTAATTTTGGTGAATATTTTTGTCA